CACCACACTCAGACACCACCACACTCAGAGGTTTTGTATCTAAGCACACAAATTTCTTTCTCCTGATATGGGGCATTGACAAAGATAGAAATTATAGGCTATTAACAGCCTTCACAAGCGATGACAGAACATGCATCTGAGTAGCAACCAGTGAGGACAGAGCAAGTTTCTGAGCCAGTGTAACCTAAACCTTCCACCAGAACTCAGAAAAAAAAAATATGTGATATCCACCAACCACTTAGAACCGAATTCAAAATAAAATGAGGCAAGGGAAAACAAATGGACGGACTCTTTCCAAATCTGCACACTGAAAGTAATCCTTAAGAGGAGCGACAAGTGGAGTCGAATAATGCAAGGATTTTCAACGCTCGTATTTCGAACGCGAGATTAATTACCGTCCTCTTGGGGGAAGGTGACAAGTTCCTTGATGCGTTACCCAGATCATCGTGAGAGTGGAGGCTGCGCTGGACTGCCAGAAGCAACCACAAAACAACTTAATTGAGAGGGGAATTTTAATAGAGCGAGACATCATTACAAATCAGTGGAGCGAGACATTACACATGAGTGGAACGAGACATCACACGTCAGTGGAGCGAGACATCACACATCAGTGGAGCGAGGCATCTTCACTGGAGGAGATAACAGTGAGACTCGTGGAAATATAAATGTGAATCTTTAGTCCAAAAGTTGGAGAGAAGTTGCCAGCGAGAGGGTAGTGGTGGAGGGGTAGTGGTGGAGGGGTAGTGGTGGAGGTGTAGTGGTGGAGAGGTAGTGGTGGAGGGGTAGTGGTGGAGGGGTAGTGGTGGAGGGGTAGTTGGTGGAGGGGTAGTGGTGGAGGGGTAGTGGTGGAGGGGTAGTGGTGAGGTGAGGGGGAGTGTGTGGAGGGGTAGTGGTGGAGGGTGTAGTGGTGGAGGGTAGTGGTGGAGGGGTAGTGGTGGAGGGTAGTGGTGGAGGGGTAGTGGTGGAGGGTAGTGGTGGAGGGGTAGTGGTGGAGGGGGTATAGTGGTGGAGGGTAGTGGTGGAGGGGTAGTGGTGGAGGGGTAGTGGTGGAGGAGGTAGGGTGGTGGAGGGGTAGTGGTGGAGGGGTAGTGGTGGAGGGGTAGTGGTGGAGGGTAGTGGTGGAGGGGTAGTGTGGTGGAGGGGTAGTGGTGGTAGTGGGTAGTGGTGGAGGGGTAGTGGTGGAGGGGGTAGTGGTGGGGAGGGTAGTGGTGGAGGGTAGTGGTGGAGGGATGTAGGGTGTGGGAGGGGTAGTGGTGGAGGGGTAGGGTGGGAGGGGTAGTGGTGGAGGGGTAGTGGTGGAGGGAGTGTGGAGGGGTAGTGGTGAGGGTAGTGGTGGAGGGGTAGTGGTGGAGGGGTAGTGGTGGAGGGGTAGTGGTGAGGGGTAGTGGTAGGGAGGGTAGTGGTGGAGGGGTAGTTAGGTGGAGGGGTAGTGGTGGAGGGGTAGTGGTGGAGGGGTAGTGGTGGAGGGGTAGTGGTGGAGGGGTAGTGGTGGGAGGGGTAGTGGTGGAGGGGTAGTGGTGGAGGGGTAGTGGTGGAGGGGTAGTGGTGGAGGGGTAGTGGTGGAGGGGTAGTGGTGGAGGGGTAGTGGTGGAGGGGTAGTGGTGGGAGGGATAGTGGTGGAGGTAGTGGTGGAGGGGTAGTGGGAGGGGTAGTGGTGGAGGGGTAGTGGTGGAGGGGTAGTGGTGGAGGGGTAGTGGTGGAGGGGTAGTGGTGGAGGGGTAGTGGTGGAGGGGTAGTGGTGGAGGGGTAGTGGTGGAGGGGTAGTGGTGGAGGGGTGGGTGGAGGGTAGTGGTGGAGGGGTAGTGGTGGTAGGGGTAGTGGTGGAGGGGTAGTGGTGGAGGGGTAGTGGTGGAGGGGTAGTGGTGGAGGGGTAGTGGTGGAGGGGTAGTGGTGGAGGGGTAGTGGTGGAGGGGTAGTGGTGGAGGGGTAGTGGTGGAGGGGTAGTGGTGGAGGGGTAGTGGTGAGGGTAGTGTGGAGGGGTAGTGGTGGAGGGGTAGTGGTGGAGGGGTAGTGGTGGAGGGGTAGTGGTGGAGGGGTAGTGGTGGAGGGGTAGTGGTGGAGGGGTAGTGGTGGAGGGTAGTGGTGGAGGGTAGTGGTGGAGGGGTAGTGGTGGAGGGTAGTGGTGGAGGGGTAGTGGTGGGGGGTGGGTGGTGGGTGGGAGGGGTAGTGGTGGAGGGGTAGTGGTGGAGGGTGTGTGAGGGTAGTGGTGGGGGTAGTGGTGGAGGGGTAGTGGTGGAGGGGTAGTGGTGGAGGGGTAGTGGTGGAGGGGTAGTGGTGGAGGGGTAGTGGTGGAGGGGTTGATGGGCGGAAGGGTTGGGTGGAGGAGGGGTTGGTGGTGGGGGAGTAGTGGTGGACGGGGTAGTGGTGGAGGGGGTAGTGGTGGAGGGGTGGGTAGTGGTGGAGGGGTAGTGGTGGAGGGGGCAGTGGTGGGGGGATAGTTGTGGAGGGGGTAGTGGTGGATGGGGGTAGTGGTGGAGCTGGTAGTGGTGGAGGGGGAAGTGGTGGAAGGGGGTAGTGGTGGATGGGGTAGTGGTGGAGGGTGTGGGGGACAGGGTGGTGGAGGGTGTGGGGGACAGGGTGGTGGAGGGTGTGGGGGGACAGGGTGGTGGAGGGTGTAGGGGGGTGGGGGTGGGGTTGAGGGGGGTGGTGGTGTCAGTACACTCGCACACTTGCAGATATAAGGACGCCAGTTCGATCTCCAGTACTCCTCATCAATTTGTTACTCTTGCCATGAAATAAATTTCTCGTATTATTCTTGGTCCATTCTGTTGACTCTGGTGGTCCATGTATACTTCTTGGTCCACTTTGTTGACTCTGGTGGTCCAGGTATAATTCTTGGTCCATTCTGTTGACTCTGGTGGTCCAGGTATTCTTCTCGGTCCATTCTGTTGACTCTGGTGGTCCAGGTATACTTCTTGGTCCACTTTGTTGACTCTGGTGGTCCAGGTATTATTCTTGGTCCATTCTGTTGACTGGAGGTCTAGGTATTCTTCTTGGTCCATTCTGTTGACTCTGGTGGTCCAGGTATTCTTCTTGGTCCACTCTATTGACTCTTGTGGTTCAGGTATTCTTCTTGGTCCACTCTATTGACTCTGGTGGCCAAGGTGTTGAGACTTCTCACTCACTTGCCCTGCTGAAGATCTCAGAAGGTGATAGAAATATGTAATCTCTATCCACACTGGGTTTCTCTCTACACGTGAGTGTTACACTGTGTCTACACGTGGATGCTACACTGCGTCTACACATGGGTGTTATATTGTGGCCACACGGGGGTGTTACGTTGTGTCTATACGTCACATGGGTGTTACACCGGGTTTCTGTCTACAAGTGGATGTTACACCGGGTTTCAGTCTACAAGTGGGTGTTACACCGGGTTTCTGTCTACAAGTGGGTGTTACACCAGGTTTCTGTCTACAAGTGGGTGTTACACCGGGTTTCTGTCTACAAGTGGGTGTTACACCGGGTTTCTGTCTACAAGTGGATGTTACACCGGGTTTCTGTCTACAAGTGGATGTTACACCTGGTTTCTGTCTACAAGTGGGTGTTACACCGGGTTTCTGTCTACAAGTGGGTGTTACACCGGGTTTCTGTCTACAAGTAGGTGTTACACCGGGTTTCTGTCTACAAGTGGGTGTTACACCGGGTTTCTGTCTACAAGTGGGTGTTACACCGGGTTTCTGTCTACAAGTGGATGTTACACCGGGTTTCTGTCTACAAGTGGATGTTACACCGGGTTTCTGTCTACAAGTGGATGTTACACCGGGTTTCTGTCTACAAGCGGGTGTTACACCGGGTTTCTGTCTACGAGTGGGTGTTACACCGGGTTTCTGTCTACAAGTGGGTGTTACACCGGGTTTCTGTCTACAAGCGGGTGTTTCACCGGTTTCTGTCTACAAGTGGATGTTACACCAGGTTTCTGTCTACAAGTGGGTGTTACACCGAGTTTCTGTCTACAAGCGGGTGTTACACCGGGTTTCAGTCTACAAGTGGGTGTTACACCGGGTTTCTGTCTACAAGTGGGTGTTACAACGGGTTTCTGTCTACAAGTGAGTGTTACACCGGGTTTCTGTCTACAAGTGGGTGTTACACCGGGTTTCAGTCTACAAGTGGATGTTACACCGGGTTTCTTTCCACAAGTGGGTGTTACACCGGGTTTCTGTCTCCAAGTGAGTGTTACACCTGGTTTCTGTCTACAAGTAGGTGTTACATCGGGTTTCTGTCTACAAGTGAGTGTTACACCGGGTTTCTGTCTACAAGTGAGTGTTACACCGGGTTTCTGTCTACAAGTGAGTGTTACACCGGGTTTCTGTCTTCAAGTGAGTGTTACACCGGGTTTCTGTCTACAAGTGAGTGTTACACCGGGTTTCTGTCTACAAGTGAGTGTTACACTAGGTTTCTGTCTACAAGTGAGTGTTACACCGGGTTTCTGTCTACAAGTGAGTTTTACACCGGGTTTCTGTCTACAAGTGAGTGTTACACCGGGTTTCTGTCTACAAGTGAGTGTTACACCAGGTTTCTGTCTACAAGTGAGTGTTACACCGGGTTTCTGTCTACAAGTGAGTGTTACACCGGGTTTCTGTCTACAAGTGAGTGTTACACCGGGTTTCTGTCTACAAGTGAGTGTTACACCGGGTTTCTGTCTACAAGTGAGTTTTACACCGGTTTTCTGTCTACAAGTGAGTGTTACACCGGGTTTCTGTCTACAAGTGAGTGTTACACCGGGTTTCTGTCTACAAGTGAGTGTTACACCAGGTTTCTGTCTACAAGTGAGTGTTACACCGGGTTTCTGTCTACAAGTGGGTGTTATCATTAACGGTGTGTACAGAACTATACAACTTATTCTGTCTCCGTGTATCTCCGTATTTCTCAGTGCTTCCCCGTTTTTCCCCGTATTTCCCCTGTGTTTCCCCGTGTATCTCTGTGTCCCACCGTGTGTCCCCGTCTGTCTCCGTGTATGTCTTGCTCTCCCAGCTAATGTGGTTTTGTTCCTTCCTTTGCAGATGTCAACGGCAGCGGAGAGATCGACGAAAAAGATCTGGAAATTGCTATCCAGGTCAGTTGTGAGTGCTGATGTGTGTCCTGAGCGGCACCTTGATCGTAACACTTGTAATCAACAACTATCCTCAAGAAACTTGTCGAGAACTTACAAGGCTTTTAATTTTGAGTTTTATTATCTATTGTTCTGTGTTGACGTATTTATTTGTGAGTAATATTTTACCTTCAAGTAAAGCGTTATAACACACACACACATACACACACGCACACACACACACACACACACACACACACACACCACACACACACACACACACGCACACACGCGCGCGCGCGCGGGTGTTAATGTTGCAGTTTAAAAACTGTAGTGTAAAGCACCCTTCTGGCAAGACAGTGATGGAGTGAATGATGGTGAAAGTTTTTCTTTTTCGGGCCACCCTGCCTTGGTGGGAATCGCCCAGTGTGATAATAATAAATATATATATATATATATATATATATATATATATATATATATATATATATATATATATATATATATATATATATATATATATATATATATATATATATATAATGTATGTATGTCGTGACGAATAAATAAAACTGGTCAATTAGCAAAATCTCGTTTAAAATTATGTCCTTTCTAAAATTTTCTCTTATACGTTTAAATATTTTTTTCATTGACGTTAAGGTAAAAATTAATAATTCTATATCAAAACAACCTTAGAAAATTTACCTAACCTTATTATAACAAGCGCAATTTAATTTAACCTAATCCAGCTAAATATATTTTAGATAAGTTTACAATAATTTAATAATAAGGAAACACAGTGAAATATATTTTTTTCGTTTGGTTCAGAATGATTTTTGCGAAATTATGCACAAATTTTCTCTCTCCTTATTAGGCAAGAAGAGCGTTCCTATTTAAGCCAAAATCGTAAGGTTTACCTTTTCGGCACGACATATATAAGGTAATTACCGTATAATTATATTTGGAGTTAGCAATATGAGGCTAGATTTAAACTGGTGTAGAGGTTTTCCCACCGTGAGTGGCCCATATTTACTTCAGACTCACCACACTGAAGGTGTCACAAGTTGTAGTCACAATTTAAAGTAAGTACACACTTGTGTGTGAGAACTGCCAGGTTCTCCTGTCCACATCAGGTAAATTCGATACCAGGTGTCGCCTCATACATACGTGAAGTGTTTGTTGATGTAATAAGAATCTCTCTATATATGTATTCACCGAGAAATTTACATTATTCATTTTTAAGAGATTAAATTTGTTTTGTAGCAGCTACGTAAAGAGGTGAATCTCGTGCTGTGTTTACAGTCCTTGCAGCAGTTACAGATGATTTAATAAATCTTGAATTGAGGTTGCCAGCACCGAGGCTCCCAGTAACACGGTTATCACAACACTGGTATGCTGGAGAGTTGTATCGGTATAATAAATACTTATGTCTTGCGTCAGCTCGTAAAACCATAATAACATAAGAATGGAGAAGAATTTCAACAGGTCTGCTGGTTCGTGCTAGACGTCCTGCTCACACTCAACGCTTCTCACTTGTATACCTGTTTAGTGCATTTTTAATGCTACCCAAAGTTGTCTGCTGAGTGACACTACCTGGTAGTTTGTTCCACTCATCCACAACTATCCTTTCTATATCAAAATTTATTCAACTTGAATCGTTTACTGCGAATCCCATCCTGGTCAGATATTCTGAACACTATTTACACCTCTTTCATAGTTAATAAAGACATACAAGCAGTAACTAGAACATATATTGTTTGGCTGGCACAGCAGCTTTATCAAGTCTGATTTGCAGACTTGGTAAAACCTAATATGTGCAGGCGAAACGTAGCCTTGAGAGAGTTTCCAGTTATTACATGTGTGTCTTCATCAACTAAAACTTGTCGGTACTCCAGTCCCATCTACTATTACACCTAAAATCTCTTATTTATTCTGCTTATCCACTTGTACGAGTTAGTGATGTCCATCCTAACTCTACGCCTCTCTAAAGGAGTACCTTCAACCTGTCTTCGCAGAAGAGGTTTCTTAAGCATGGTATTAAACATAAGAACATAAGAATGTAGGAACACTGCAGAAGGCCTACTGGCCCAAGAAATAACTCCCGTACCCAGTGACACCATTCAAACCATTCATCCATCTCTAAGTTTTCCCCGCACACTTCCAGTCATTCTACTATACCGATACTTGAAATGAGCTGCGTATTATGAGGTCTTAACCAGTGATATATAAACTTGACATATAACCTTAGGATTTCTCTTATTTATGGCTCTTGATGTGAAGACAAGAAATCTAGTTTTGTTAACACTTGTACTGTGTTAAGAACATAAGAACATAAGAAAGAAGGAACACTGCAACAGGCCTACTGACCCATGCGGAGCAGGTCCATGTCCCCCCCCCCGGATTAGACCAATGACCCATCCAGTCTGGTCATCCCCACTCAAGGATGGAGCACTGTGCCAGACCCAGCAGCACAAGCTAGTCAGGTCCAACTCACACCCACCCACACCCACTCATGTATTTATCTAACCTATTTTTAAAACTACACAACGTTTTAGCCTCAATAACTGTACTCGGGAGTTTGTTCCACTCATCCACAACTCTATTACCAAACCAGTGCTTTCCTATATCCTTCCTGAATCTGAATTTTTCCAACTTGAAACCATTGCTGCGAGTCCTGTCGTGGCTGGAAATTTTCAGCTAACCAGAACTTCTAAGGCTATATAATTTGCTATATAATTTATAGGTGTCCTGGATATTTTATTTTCTTACGATATGAACCTAAAACGTTCGTTTACAAAACTTGAAAATAGTTTGGTAATACAAACGATTAACGCTCACTCATATTCTCTCTCTCTCTCTCTCTCTCTCTCTCCTTGATGAAAAGCACACAGAAGAGTCAGTAGTTTTAATTGAACTCTCTACTAGGGAAAAATGGGAAGGGGGGAGAGGGGAGGGGACGTGGGTAGGGAAGAGGGGAGGGAAAGGTGAAGGAGAGGGAGGAGGGGAAAAGTTGGTTGGAAGGGATGGTTACTGAGATAAATGTGGGTGAGTGAGCAAGGGAGATTAGCGGAGAGTGAATGAGAGAAAAAGAGACCTGACATGGTCTCTCAATTTTTTCTCTCAGTTACTTTCTTTTTTAGGGGTTTATGTGAATCATAAAACTGTGTAGGTGCTGAATCCCCATTCTGTAGGTGTTGAATCCTCCTTTGTAGGTGCTGGATTCTCCTTTGTAGGTGCCGGATCTCCTTTTGTAGGTACTGGATCCTCTTTGTAGGTACTGGATTTCCTTTGTAGGATCTGGATCTTCCTTTGTAGGTGCCGGATTCCCTTTTGTAGGTACTGGATCCTCTTTGTAGGTACTGGATTTCCTTTGTAGGATCTGGATCCCTTTTGTAGGTACTGGATCCTTCATCGTAGGTTCTGGATCCCCTTTGTAGGTTCTGGATCCCCTTTATAGGTACTGGATCCCCTTTTTTAGGTTCTGGATTCCCTTTGTAGGTTCTGGATCCCCTTTGTAGGTGCTGGATCCCCTTTGTAGGTGCTGGATACCCTTTGTAGGTTGTTAGGTAAGACACATGTGCAACAGTTAGACAACTTTATTCCGAAACGTTTCGCCTACACAGTAGGCTTCTTCAGTCGAATACAGAAACTAGGCAGGAACAGTAGAGATGTGAAGACGATGTAATCAGTCCATCACCCTTGTAGTCGTAGAATTTGAGGTTGTCAGTCCCTCGGCCTAGAGAAGTTCAGTTCCATAGTCAGGAACTATCTGAAGATCAAGCGACAGTGCGGAGACTTAAATACTGTCGGAAGGAGAGGTGAAGAGTAGTAGTAGTAGTAGTAGTAGTAGTAGTGAGAATGTAGCCACTGATAGGTCACGTCCCTCTCAGATCCCACACTTCTCACTTGAAAAGCTTGTCCAAGGTGTTTTCTGTACCAAGATGCCATGTGATGCAGTGTCTGACAAGATGAACATCCAGGTGCTGGATCCCCTTTTCTAGGTTCTGGATACCCTTTGTAGGTGCTGGATCCCCTTTGTAGGTGCAGGATCCCCCTTTCTAGGTTCTGGATCCCCTTTATAGGTACTGGATCCCCTTTTTTAGGTTCTGGATTCCCTTTGTAGGTTCTGGATCCTCTTTGTTGTGCAGGATCCCCTTTGTAGGTGCTGGATCCCCTTTTCTAGGTTCTGGATACCCTTTGTAGGTGCTGGATCCCCTTTGTAGGTGCAGGATCCCCCTTTGTAGGTTCTGGATCCCCTTTATAGGTACTGGATCCCCTTTTTTATGTTATGGATTCCCTTAGTAGGTTCTGGATCCTCTTTGTTGGTGCAGGATCCCCTTTGTAGGTTGTGGATCCTCATTGTAGGTTCTGGATCCTCTTTGTAGGTGCTGGATCCCCTCTGTGTGTAAATTATACAAAATATTTAATTGAAGGCAGCTACTTAAAAATTCTTTTGTTAAATAATATCATTATATTTAAGTTTTGGTATTAAACATTAAAATATTCCGTTACGAATTCTGGAATTAAAAAAACACATTAGTCAGATTTTTAGGCATTTACTGATTCATTTACTGACAGGAGAAAAATACGTCAAATTTATATTATATAAACTTTTGGAAGCATTAAGTATATAAATGCTATATAAATTTCCCTTTGGAAACTTGTGCTATGTAAATTCCCTTATGGATACAAACATATAAATTAACTAATGGAAATCTCTGCTGTATAAAATACCATAGTGAAATATATACTATATAAATTTCCTTACAGAAATATATATATATATATATATATATATATATATATATATATATATATATATATATAATATATATATATATATATATATATATATATATATATATATATATATATATATATATATATATATATATATATATATATATATATATATATATATATAATATATATATATATAATAATATATATATATATATATATATATACTTTATATACTTTCTTAATACAACTGCGATATACTCAGCACATAATTTCTGAACCTA